ACACCAAACACGCTGAGAAAAAAACCGGTCGCCTGGGCTCTGTGATCAGAGAGCCAGGGGAGAGCAGGGCAGCCCCTTCGGCGCCCCGGGCAGGTCGCTTGGCACCCGAGGAGGTGTCTGGCGCTCCCCTGACGGAGGCTCCAGCACCGCGGACAGCGGCTCCAGCACCGCGGACAGCGGCTCCAGCACCGCGGACAGCGCACGCCGCCAACATGGCTCCGATCGCGGCCGGCCGCCAGCACTTCGGTAAGCGCGTCCCGGCCCCAACTCCCCGCCCGCCGGGCTGGGGGCTGCTCCCCTCCCCAGGAAAAGTGCAGGCAGACAGCCTCTGCTGAGCCACCCAGCGCCTCCCAGCACGCGGCTGCTGGGCACGAACCTGATTTCCCCCATTTCTCTTTGGTCTCAGAAGTTGTGTGAATTTGCTTTCTTTCCCTTTGCTCTCTTCCTTCCTCACTACCCGTTCCCCTCTGGTAAACGGGGAGAGTGGTTTGTGTAGGTGAATTTTCGAACGGGAGAGGTTTGGGGTTGTTTCCTCTGTCTTGTTTAAAGTAGCGTGGCTTCAGATTTAAATGATGTAAACGCATCCTATGCCACAGAGAAAATCATTGTTCAAGACATTCTTGGAATAATTGTCATTCCTTTTTTATAGAGAAAGACTTGTCAACCATTCGTTAAAGTGAAAAGTAGCCTAGTAAAGGACATTGCTAGGCAGATGAAAATACAGGATCACAGTGGTTTTAGCTAAACAGCTGCATCTTGATCAGTCAGGGTTCATTGAGAACATCAATGATAACAATGAACTTTTCAGTTTTGTCATTTCTATGCACTGGATGTAGGGTGTTTAAGTGTGTTACCAGAAGTTTCAGAAACAGTCATATATATGTGCGCTTACAAAATAGATACAGAAACAGCTGTACTCGGAAAAGCAGTAAGTAGAAATGTTCCCGAACTCTGCTTTACAAATATTGACTCTAGCCTAGATTATATTTGCTTTAGTAGTGGTTAAATTCAAGGAGCATGCCATTGACTTAAGTGAAGTGACTCCAGATTTGTATCACGTAACTGAAATAATAAGTTCTCACAGAATCAATAGGTGATGTTTCCTATTAATACACTGCCTTGAACATTAACCAATTGATTTACATTATGACAACAGCAAGAAATTCTGGTTGCAACATAATTAGTTGTAAATATAAAACCATTTTAGTTACCATTTCATCCTCTTTCCTACCCCACCCACATGATATTTCTAACCACATTTGTGACATCATGCTTATCTAATTACTTATTTAAGAAAGATAATTAATATTTTAAACACAAAATTGATTATACCACTGCTTTCGGTAGTTGTAGAGTTAAAATATAGCATAATATCTATTAGTATACAAAGTCTGTCATCTCATGAAAAAGTAATACAAATGTGCAAATCATTCTTAAAAGCTATTAAAGTGATCTGATTAGCTTTCCATTATTTTTTTGCCTTCTACCTTTATGTCATGTATATTTAAATTTCTGCAGTCCAGGGAATTCTTGATACTCAGAGCCACGTGCTTAACTCAGAAAAAATACTTGTTGGTTATGTATATAATTTTCAGGCATTTTATTTACAATTAAGTTTGTAGACTGATACAACTTGTCAGCAAAGGGAAAGTGATATGAATGTTGTCGGAAAAAAATTAATAGCCAGGCCTGATCCTTTCTGTGCTGGAACATTATGTCCTAATATGATCTGATAGTATTGTGGATATTTTTAATCATCCCACTAAAAAGCAAAGGTATAGTGGCAGCACATCTATCTGCCCAGCTTTTAGCTGAATGAAACTGATTTAGTAATACATAGAGGAGGACAGTTTTCTTTTTCTCAGGAAAGGACCTAGAACTGTTACACAATTACCTATATGCATAAACAATGTAATTCCATTAATATTCTACTGGTCTTTCACTGTTGCAGGGAATAAAGATTAAGCTCTGATTGTTACATTGTGGGAGGTTTAAACTCGCTTAGTAATGTTACTTATGGGCAAAATTGGATTTCCAATTAGTTGTGCTCATTTACCCTTCGATGCATGCTTTGAAGGGCTAATGATACTCTATATGTAACTAATGTATCCACATGACAATTGAGGTTGTAACACTTGCTCAGTTTCTCTTTATTCAGTTTAAGTTAAGGATTCATATTAAGATAGAAGATAATTATGTTTCAGTGTTTTTCTTATATACTTCTAAAAAGTAGTGACCTTTCCTGTAAACTCCCTATAGCTTTGATTCATAGTGTCTTAAATGTAAAGCTCAGTGGTTATCAATGACACATTTAATAGGGTTTTTTTTTTCAGCTTTGGTTTCACATGTGACTGCCCAATGTCACATCCATCTGGAAAAGACAGTTTGTATGAAATTGTTCTAAATTTTTTTTATAGACTTCCTACTATAAAGTATTGAAAATCCCATTGAATCTGTTGAGTGTTATAACCTCCAATTAAACTCAGTTCTTTCAAGTAATACCTCCAGGCAATTATAGGATCAGACCATAAAAACCAAGAAAATTGAGTGTACAAAGCATTCTAGGAAACAGTGTGAAAAGCAGATGATGTATCTATAAGTAATGTATATTTCACAGTCTGCTTTATCTAACAAACAAAGCTCCATAAACTCAAAGCTGAAACCTTCCGAGAGCTGGTATTACTCACAGACATATAATCTTAGAAACTACACACAGAGGGATGAGACAGTCGAGCTATTACTAATGTTTTTTACTATTAGGATGGGAATAGTATTTTCCTCCCAAACACTCTGGATATGGAAAAATACTAACATAACTAGCGTGCCTTAGTGTGGGACTACACATGCATGCCTGCAGGTGGCGAGCAATATGTACAATGCAAAGCACTTCCAGTCTGTTGATCCTGCTGCTATTACCATCTCGTATCAGTTTGTTTTACTAAATTATTACTTTATTAAATATCATACAGAGTCTAAGGCATTGCTGCTTATGTGCTTGTCGCTATTTATTTGATTTGCAGATGAAATTCCTACAGTGGTTGGCATCTTTAGTGCATTTGGCCTTGTCTTCTCGGTCTCCCTTTTTGCTTGGATCTGCTGCCAACGTAAATCTTCCAAATCCAATAAGACCCCTCCATATAAGTTTGTCCATGTTCTGAAGGGGGTCGATATTTACCCTGAGAATCTCAACAGTAAGAAGAAGTTTGGAGCAGATGATAAAAGTGAAGCAAAGAACAAATCAGTGATGCCAAAGAATTCTCTCCATCTTGACCTGGAGAAGAGAGATCTAAACGGCAACTTCCCCAAAACAACCCCTAAAATCCAGAGCTCTCCAGATCCTGAAAATCTGTCTCCTAAGCACTTTGCAGAAAGGAAGAAAGATTCAGTATCCCCTGATAGTTTAAAATCCATCACTTCCCTGTCATCTGAAGACAAACAAGACAAGTTAGGAACTCTCTTTTTCTCCTTAGAGTACAACTTTGAGAAAAAGGCATTTGTAGTGAACATCAAAGAAGCACGTGGGCTGCCAGCAATGGATGAACAGTCAATGACTTCTGATCCCTACATCAAAATGACAATTCTGCCTGAGAAAAAGCACAAGGTGAAAACCAGAGTGCTGAGAAAAACCTTAGATCCAGCTTTTGATGAGACCTTCACGTTTTATGGGATCCCCTATACCCAAATTCAAGACTTAACACTTCACTTTGTGATCTTGAGCTTTGACAGGTTTTCCAGAGATGATGTCATAGGAGAAGTCCTCATTCCCCTCGCAGGAATTGAACTGTCAGAAGGAAGACTGCTAATGGACAGAGAGATCATCAAAAGAAATGTTAGGGTAACATATTTTTTATTTGAATTTTAGAAGTGTTGTGCTAGTGTTAGCTATGATTCCTGTGTACTGTTGCTACCACGTTGTAAAGAAAAGGGAACTAGCTCATCATGCAAGTCATTGAGATGCTTTCATAATGGCAGTATGAGGAAGCAATTACACAAATGCAATAAAAGAACATTACAGTGAGCATGTTGCAAGAAATTGCTAATGTTCTAAACTCTACTTGCTTATTCAGCTGGTCCAGCAGGTTTGAGTGGACCTGTTTACATTAGGTTAAGGGGCGTCAATCCAAATTAATTTCCTTTAAAAGGAAAGAATGAAAATATTTCTATTTCTTCCCTTTCTTGTCTTTTCTGTCTGAAATAATTTTTTATTGAAGCTTATTATAGTCAATGTAAATCTTTCAATTCAAATACCTGGGTTTTATAGCAGATTCTTAAAGAATGCAAGCAGTCTTTAGCTAAGGAATTGGAACCTGTTAGCGACCATAGTGTTGATGCAGTAGTATGTTCTTCCAAACCAGTGCTCTTACTATCTTCTCTCTCAAGAATTGTGACACAGGCAGCAGCTCTACTAAGGACAGTAAGAGATAAAGGGGAAAGCCAAAGACTTACTGAAGTCAATGGCAAACCATACTGACTTCACTGGGATAAAAATATTTCATACCGTGTCGTCTCGTTTCAGAATGCAATGATCATTTACAACTATCACAGCTGAACCACAGAAAAGCACATGCATCACACACACGTCTCTTAATCTCTGCTAAGGAACTGGAATGTGTATTGACTTTCAATTTGATTGTTTTGAAAGAGCAAGCATACTGCCAAATCAAATAAATGTCTCCCAGACAACATACCTATAACTAATACTGTTATTTTGCAATTGTACTGCTATATTACAACAACTATTACTATGCCATTGATATTTTTGTTGATAACTTATTGCATTTTCTGGTATATAAAGTTTTGGGTGTTTTTTTTTTGCTTGTTTCTCTTGCCTTCCTCCTTTCTGTGAAAGAAACAATTCATGAAAATTCAAATCTAGTAATCATAGCAAAAGTCTTTGATGTCATCTTTATTTCATGTATATTACACTACTTTAGAAAGTGTCAGGGATGAGCTTTCACTATTTGCACCTTCCTGTTGAAAAACATTTTACTGAACATGTATTAAATTTTATTTTATTAGATTTTCTTTTTCAATCTATATGGAGTTTTGTTTTGCTTACAATCTTTTTCATTCACTGATTTTTTTTTTTTTTTTTTTTTTTTTTCCCCCCTCAGGATGGAGGATTTAATTTCTAATCTCTGAAACCAATAATGTCATATTAACTTATGTTTTCACTTATTTGTTTTTTATTTTCATTCATTCTAGTAACCAATCATAAGAAGAGCTATGTAACTACAGTAGAGGGTAGTTATTTTTGCTATGTAAAGGAGCATAGCTCCATAAATTATATCCTTTTACTCCACTTCAGAGCATACAGTTATGTGACATTTCATAAATCTTCTTAATTTTGGTTTAACGCTTGGTCAATATAATTGTTTATAAATACTCTTATTTCTTTTTTTTTTTTTTCCTTCATTTCCTCAGAAATCATCTGGGCGTGGAGAATTGCTAATCTCTCTCTGTTATCAGTCTACAACGAACACGCTCACTGTGGTTGTTTTAAAAGCCAGGCATCTACCTAAATCTGATGTGTCAGGATTATCAGGTAATGGTTTTACTAATGAATATACCATAAGAAGATAAAACAGATGGAAGACAGCTGAAATGTGGCATTTTAAAGACTAAAAGCATCCCATAAATGTAGAAATACTGTCTTTATTATTTTCAGCCTATTCATTTACTCATATCTAGGTTAATGCTTTTTTTTCCAGGTATGTACTTTACAAATTTGCTTTTTCAATCACGTTAAAAAACACCACATCTGTTAGCGGTGAAAACCAATGAGTTTTGTGACTGTCTTGAACAGAACCTGCCTGCCATAAGAACGGGATCTAGTTTGCATATACTAAAAGCTTTTATTTATGACCAAAAAAAAAAAAAAAAAAAAAAAAAAAAGTTACTTTCTTACTAAAAGTTCAGTATTGACTGAGATCTTCATATGGTTTATTTCAGCCTAGCACCAAGAAAAGAAACCAGTTACACCTGTGTTGAATTTGGCCCAGTAAGCACTAGCGTTTATTTGGCAAGGTGAAAAGGTGAACTATGCTTTATCATGAGCTGTACTTGCGGTGCACTAACAAGGAGCAGGTTTTGTACTCCCTTCTGGTCTTGTGCCATTTTCATTCAGCAGAACATTCTTTGAAGCCAATAGTAGAACTGCACTTAGATGCACATTATTGCTAGACAACATAATAACAATATTTAATACACAACATACTAAGGATAAGACAATCATATAAAAAGAACAATATACTACAATGGACTATAACAATAGTGGCACATCTACTGTTGATTCTGTGTAGGACTGATACTCTTTCATTTCACAGGATTTTTTTTTTCTTCTTTTTTAAAGAAGAAGAAGTGGAAGTAGTTTTGGGAACCACTGAATCATAATTACTACAACCAATAATACAGTCTTTCTACTCACACCAAGAAATGCTGCAATTTACCTAGAAAGTTAACCTATGATAGTTCCAATACAGCAAAGCTATAGATAACTTCCATTTCCATATTGAATTTCCTTTGAAATCCTTCTGATCTCAATTTCATTCACATATCATAAGGAGAAAGGAAATAAATGGAGCCCAACAGCTTACTTCACATATGTATTTTAAATATCAACCCCAAATTCACAGTTAGTGGATGTTTCATGAAAACAGCATGACAGCAAGCTGATCTTAACAGACCAAGGTGGGAAAACAACTTGAAAACAAAAGCATTACTAGTCTCAGCATCCACCTTGGTCCTATAGCACATCCAGACTACACATTTGTTTACTGTGGCTCTTATGTGTAAAGCTGTCAATTTTGTTTGGTCTTTCTGCTTCCCTCAGTTCAACCTTGCTAACTATAATAAGAATGTAATATTTCTGAGAAATACAAGCATCCTAGTTAAGCCTGGAGACCGAGCTCTTTTAGAGAGTGCTTCATTATTTGATGTCCATCAGCAAGGCCAGGTTCAATAGATATCTGGGCAGCAGTACCACTGAATACACGACAGACCTAATTTCTTCTGTGACTTTCCCCTCAGACCAGCATAAATCTTGGTGTTTCTGCGGGGTGAGCTGAACAATTTCATAAACCAATCTTCAATTGCAAAGTTTTTATTCAGAAACTGTTCCATTCCCACAACTTCATTTGTTTCCTTGATCACCAGTGTTGAGGTCTCCAAAAAGACCTAATAATCAAGACAAACCTAGCCTTATCTAGTAACCAGCTGGGGTAACAGTTAGAAAATATCATTTAAACAGAAATGAACAACGGTATGAATCCACTGATGGATACTGATTTTTATGTTTTTGATGGTTGTTTGACATATATTCATTCCAAAACCAATGAACATTTTAATTACATTAAACTCTATTTTTATAATATTTATTATGATGATAGAGTATGAGTGTGAAGATGTATTCTATCATACCTTACCTCCTTTTAAACTATTGTCAGTTCAAGGAAACAAAAACTTTTTCATCAATTCAATCTCATAAATTTGACATAAAATTTCTAAATAGGGTTGTTTTAAATTTACATTTAAAGAAAGTATTCGGCTATTATTGATGTTTAATTGTTGATTGTTTACATAGAATATCTTATCTGGTTGGGTTTAGTAGAATGGATTTTGTACTTCATCTTTGTACAATAAGTATTTGGAAACAGGCTCACATTCCTCTGAAATAAATGCCAAGGTACTTTAAAGCATTTTCTAGAAGTCTTCCGAAGGAAGAAATAGAGCCATTGTTGAAGACAATAGTAAAGGAATCTTGCAACAGTTGAATGAGAATTGCAAATGCTAGAAGTTGGTTGACAGCTAAAAATATGAACATTTTCCCTTCCTTCTTCAATAATAGTACAGCTCAGACATAAATTCAATACATATCCTAACAACAAACTTACCCTTACATTTAAAGTTTAGTGTTAAATTTATTTTTAAAAAATTGGTGGGATCAATTTAATCAAGTTAATTGGCTTTGGTAAAACTGTAACAGAACTGATTTTCATACATATATTCTCTCAGCATGAGTTTATTCTCTCCTTTCTGAAGCTTTTCTTTGCATGAGTCTTATTAACATTAATGATTATCCCTTACTGGTAGAACATGTGAAAAGTAAATTTCTGTTACACGTAAATATGTAATGATGCATATTTGTCAGAGTCTATTAGAATTTTGTGTATTTTCAGAACACCTTTGCATGTAGTAGAGATATTATTGTTAAATGAATTACAAGGCAGGATTTATCTCATGAAAGACAAATCTGTATTTTGATCACATGAACCAAGCCCTAAATTTCACTGACTATCATGATTACACATCTTTGGTGACCATAAAGGGAACTTAAAGGAACTAATTCAGATGTAAATACACACACACCCCCCCAAAAAAAAAAAAAAAAAAAAAAAATTGGATGAGATGAATAATCTTTAATCTCTTGAATCATCTCCTCAAGTGTGATGTAATTATGTTGATAAGTTATGAAATTTACCATTAACTAGATCAAAAAATCTCTAAACAACACTGTTTGACAGCTGATCTGTGCTCACTCTTTTCATTTCAGATCCTTATGTCAAAGTGAACCTGTACCATGATAAGAAGAGAATTTCTAAAAAGAAAACCCATGTGAAGAAATGCACCCCCAATGCAGTGTTCAATGAATTGTTTGTCTTTGACATTCCTTGTGAGGGCCTTGATGATATCAGCATTGAATTTTTGGTTTTAGATTCAGATAGAGGGTCAAGGAATGAGGTCATTGGCCGGTTAACCTTGGGATCTTCAGCAGAAGGAACAGGTGGAGAGCACTGGAAGGAAATCTGTGAATATCCTAGGAGACAAATTGCCAAGTGGCATATGTTGTGTGATGGTTAGCAACCTAGAAAGGGGTCAAAACTTGAAAAAAACCTATATTTATTTCCATAGGCAAGGAGCAGTTTTCTTTCTTTGCTATGTATAATTACAGGCTTGTAACTACAAGACTTTTTTTGGGGGTGGGGGGAATAAAAACTGGATTGAATTATCAGAACAGAAGGTAACAAAGTTTTCACAGTAAATAAAGGAATTTATCTTTCATTAGACTTTAACATAATTGGATCAGATTCATGTTCTTCTGAAGTTTAAATAGCCTGAAACTTCTGAAGAATTATAAACTTCAATAAGTACAGACTATGCTTTATGAAAAAGTCACTGAAAACTTAGTACTGTTATACAGAAAAAAATAACCTCATTAAAATATATTGCTAGATCTAAAAATACCACCTGTGGCTTATTGGGGAAGGGGCTGATTCTATAAAAGCCATGGGGAATGAGGGTGAGTAGGAGAGGAATTCCTTCTACCCCGCCATTGAAAACCTTCTTTTATGAAAATTCAATCATTTGTAGGTTTTTGTTACTTATACTTTATTCATCCCAAAGACTGAAGAGAATTTCAGCAATTTGTTTTACATATCATAACATGTGCAACTAGTTGTTTTATCTGTGGAAATACTGTATAATTATTTAAACTTGGATTTTTTTTTTTTTTTTTAAGATGTATATATATGATTTTTTTTTTCTTTTTTTTTTTTTTTACAGTGACAGAAATAGATACATTCTGCAAATCATTGAGCTAGTTAGCATACATAGTTTTGTTAAAAGGGCTCCTTTACGGGTGACTGTACATGTTACAGTATAGTTAGAATTTGGGATTAGTTTTTTTTTTTTTTTTTCCTCTGGCAAGGATTACACTTTAAGCATTTCAAGCCATGGGAAAACATTTTCATTGAGGCGACATAACATACAGGATATTACAGTCAATGAACTTTCACCAATTATGCTTTAAACCGTTAAGTAAATATTTACAGTAATTTCTTCTTTTGTTTCATTAACGAACAAACAAAACAGTGAGACTGAGATCAAAACCTTATTCTGCTGTTTAACTTCCTGAACTGTGACTAATGCCATTACAGTCAGTAAGACTACACCCAACATAAAAATTTTAATACATTTTTAAACTTTTGCAAGATAGGAAACGAAGCTCACATTATAATTTATCCAGTATTATGTTAGACAAACTACCTGAAAAGTGCATTTCACTTACATTATACATGTTAAAGTCCATTACTGATTGTACTGAAAATTGGTAATGGTAGGGGAATATAAACATCCTGCTTTCATGTTAGTGTGACATATGTATGTTTAAACTTAAAACTGGGGGATTATCAGATGTAACATAAAAAAAAAAAATGTATAAATAAATCATTTAGATCTGTGAAATTCACTCTTGGTCACACCAGATAGCTAGATAGATTTTTAGGCTGTCAGAACTATAGCACAACTATAAGCAGATTTCCTGAAGGTTGTACACTGATTTCTGATACAGAATTGTCTGCAGATATTATTCCTACATAATCTTTATTTACAACACATATAAAGAAGAATATAATGACGTTAATTGTTACCATAAGAAGGATTTAAAAAATGTGAAACTGTTTTCAGTATTTTTTGCATATATCATTTTGTCAAATGTAATATCAGTGAAGTGAAAGATTATTTGGGAATTAAGGTATTGCTCAATGCAAATAAAGGTAACAGAAAGGGCATGCCAGTTAAAAAACAAAAACAAAACCAACAACAAAACAAACAACAAACCCAAACATACATTGCATGTCAAATTACTTTCATTAAACAACAGATCCAGGTCCTTTTCAAAACTGTTGGAGATTTGTTGTGGACTTTACCTGTTCTCATGTGGCCAAATTACGTTTGCAGTAAAGGACACTGAAATATGAAATATGCAAGTAGACAAATAGCACTGGAAGAATTCTGTTGAGGCTCTTCCAGGTTTTGTGTTGGTATTTTCTCCAGTTTTTGAGAATGTGTTTGATATAACAGTGTTTATAGATTTCTGTAAAAATACATTTTCAAAATAACATAAACATTCTTTTTATGATAATGCTCAATGTAAAAAAAAAAAAAAAAACCAAACCTGCATATTGTATGTATAAAGGAGAGGAATCTTTTTTGCTTATTTCTTTAGAAAGCTGATTAACTGCTTAAGGGCTAGAGTTTGCCAGCCACATTCAAGCAGAGCTAATCCAAAGTCACCAAGTCAAACAAAGATGCCTGCAGGCTTCAGTGGGGATTGAAGTGCAATGACAGAGCAAAACTCTTCTTGTGAGTCAACTCAGCAATGTCAATGGCACCATCTAATCTGATCTAATGGAGACTGGGAGAGTTTAAGTCAGTACTGCACAACCAGAGTTGTTATAATTCCTAGTAAGGAAAGAACTTTATACTAAAAGTGATTGTGTGAGAGTGAGACAGCTTGTAATTAAAAAAAAAAAAAAAAAAAAAAAAAAAGAAAAAAAGAAAAAAAAAAGAGTTTTGTATATTGGCCCATACATTATCTCTACATTATCTCTAAAAATCAGATGACAGGAGTCATCTCTCTCCAATGGACACAAATTCTGACATTTGGAGAAAAAAAAAAAAAAATCACCTTTTTGAACTAATGATGGGCTGTAATCATCTTTCATTTTGCATTCAACAAATTGTCATGATTTTTTTTTCAAGTTTCTATAGTAGCTTGAGGGTTAATATTTCTACCTGCTAAATGGCAGTTGCTGTTGGGGATATGGGGTAGGAATAGGAAAGGGAAGCAAAGACATTTTTATTAAATCTAAAAAAATAAACCACCTGTAAATAGAATTTTGTTTTCCATTTAAAGCAATGTTTAGCTTGGAAAGTTGAGTAAAGATGACTTGTAACACATCTGTTAACCAGACAATGCAGGAGTGAATGTAGACCTGTACCAAGATGAGAAATTCTGTTGTTTTATAAAGTATTCAATTATCATTGTGAATATCTTGAACTCTGTTAAGGATACTGTACTGTATTAAACATGTAAAAAAATGATGTTTGTCTAAGTAGCTTACAAAAAATAATCACTCCTTGAATGGGAGATTATCCATGTCTGGAGATCTGTCGTAACTAAATACCTGATTTGTTATGGTGTTGTAACTTAATAGAAGCTATACGAGAGGAAGCATGGTGTATGAGATTTTGTAAGTTATTTGTGCTGGTTCTGTATGTTGTGCCATGTGTGTAAGACAAGAATAAACTGCTGCTTTTGTTCATCCCATCCCAAAACAATAATCCCACCAATGTATCTTTTCCAGAGATTGTTGCTACTGTTTGTATTCACGGTCTACTCTCTCATGTTTCTATCGAAAAACATTTACCTTGCAAAGTTTTCTGCTTCTCATGGAGGTAGATTAGACTTCTGCCAAATACTACCCAGGCATATAACATTTTATTTATTTCTAGCTTTTTGCTGCGTCGTTACCTTTGTCTTCAATTGCGCTGTACACTCAGGCTAGAACCTGAGACATGACAGAAAATCTGAGCTCTATATGGCCCCTACAGACACTGATATACAGAAGTAAACAAGAATGAATCCTACCTTATTAGGTGGAAGAAGTAAAATGGAAGTCACATTGCTATTGGAACCCTGGTGACGTTTCATTTGTTTTCCAGAAGCAAAAAATATCCCTTGGACAGTCACACTGTGCCATTCTTATTTTGTAACATGACACAGAAATCATGTTAGGCACCAGCTTGTCAGGTGAGTCTGGAAGTTAAGGTAGAGAAAGTGTTCTTTCAAATGCTGTATACAAACACAAACCTTGCTGCTGTGGTCTCTGAGATTATTACAGCATTTTACAAGCACAGAACCAAGCTAAGGGAGGAAGGAGACAGTTGCAGCTGGGATACACATGCCATTTAATGAATCCCATTGTGAACCTACAACCGATTACCTGGAAGGTATCGCTGACCCTTGTCACCGATGTGGTGACAATCCCGTCATCCATGACAGGGTCCACTAACCAAATGCATGAAATGGAAAATCCTTCCACGGGCATAAAGTGGTGTAGTCCCTCTGGCAGACCTCCTGTCCCAAGAAACGGGTTTCAGGTGTGAGACTGGTCTTTTCCATCCTATGCAGTCACTGCTTTTTAATTCCTTGCATTATACAGCTCTCCTCAAACAAGGGTGATTCCAATGGGTCACATTTCAGACTCTACTTCAGGACAGAAATCAAGAATATCTTTAGGTTTTCCAACAATAATGCAGCTGAGCCTCAGGGGAAGTTTCAAGGCTTCTGTCCTGATTGTTATTTGTATCTCAAATTGCTGCAATAAACAAGTCCTTCTCAAGAGAGCCCTTACAGATGCCCTGCTCTTTGCAGGAGATGCAATTCCCGAGGTGTAACACTATTCTGTAAGCCCCTCTATTTATACAGCATCATAGATAGCAACATGCTGCACACATGGTAATAATACACAGCTACAGGTGACCATGAATAAAATTTCTTTTTCTCAAGGATTCAGATATATTCTATGTAAGCTGCTGCCTTCTTATCTGTGCTCTCTGCTCCTTGAGGTCTCACAGAGCTGCTGAACAACTCACGGCACTCTTACAGCTGCTGTAACTGGCACTGGCACTTGCTTGCTTTGCTCTGCTGATGACTCCTGATAAAACCACCTTCATTCTGAAGGTGCTATCTAATTGTCACAGGCATTTCCATAATATCTGTTACCTTCCATCACTAAACATCTCTTGTAACATGACTTTGGGTTTGGAGGCATCTTTGGAGCACTGATTACAGTTGCAGCATGGCTGAACTTCCTAATTCAGAAGAAAGAATCATAGTCAGTAAGAGAAATAGAAGTTAAATCCTTCACTACATTTTTGTTAAGTCTGTACTCTTACGCCAGCTTTGCTATTGTGCATCTGAAGTACTTTGTGCATGACCAGGGAGTGTCCTGCAGGCACGGATGTGAATGCTCTGATTACATCACCAGCAACACAATCCAGTCATCCTGACAGATGAGTTGAATTCTGTTCAAACCCTTTAGCCTTGGTAAAAGAAATGAGGAGACACCACTTAAGCCATCATGACTTACCTCTACTCCTAGAACTCTGTGGTCACTCTTGATATACTCTGAATTACCCCTGGCAGTACTGTTGGTGCCTAGATGGAAAAGCTGTAATAGTCCAAGGGTTGGACAAGCCATGGTATCATCCTGGATCCTAGCCTCTTAGCAAGTATCAAGATATCATAGGGGTCGGCCAGTAGATTAGGCCTCCACCGGCAGATGGAGGGTATCTCCACTGACTGACACACACCTTCTGTCCTGTGAAGACACAAGGTTTGAACTCATCTGGCTCTGATAAATTCCTGCTTGCTCTTCTCAATGACCAGGGTATGGTGCTTGTTCTGAAGATGCAGGTGGGGCCACAAGTCACAAGCTTCCAGCTTTCCCCGCTCCGAAAGCCAGACTCCAACAAAGGCCAGACCCCTCCCCAGCTCTGTCTGGATCTAGGCCAAGATATTTATCATCACTTAGTGTTGCAAAATGTGCTCTGGTGCACTGAGACCATTGCTACACAACCTCCCAGCAACCCTACCGTGTCCTATGGGGAATGGCTGGTCCTTGGCACACCATGTTGTGCTAACTGCTGCTGTGACTCCTGTGTACGCTTCTGCTGTTTTGTGCTTGACCCTACTCCATAAAGTATCAAACTTCCCCATCAGCAGCCCCAACCCAAAATAAACTTCCAGCACTGGGAGAATAGCGCATTGGAATCTCACTGCTAATGTCAATGTCTTTGTTTGCAGTCTCTGGGACATGGGATGGGATGAAGAGCCCCTCCACTGCCATCCCCAAGTGACGTTGCTCTGGGGTGAGTCTTTCTGCCCCATTATGGCCAGTCATGTCCCATCCTGGGAGTCTGCAAACCTGACCTGGCTCTGGCTTGCTCCACCATCTGCCCTTGCTGCTGCTGGAGCTGCAGCAGCCCCAGCCATGGAGCTCTCAGGTATTGTAATGTTTCTGGAACTGTTAACCTGCTTCTCTTTAGAGAGCAGGATGTCATTCACCCTGCAGATCCAGTGGGATCTCTCATTTTGAACCTTCCGACAGTAAGATGCTCTTAGGCCATTGAAGAACAGGTTGAGCCTAACTGGAAAATGTTTCGCTTCCTCTTGTGTTGATGAAGGTTTCATTTATAATAGGATCTTATTCTTCCTCTTTGGGGAGTCTCTCAAGGGGTGGTTTTGTTTCTTTGGGGTTTTTTGTTTTTTGTTTTTTTTTTTTTTTTTTAGGTGACTGAGCTGCAGGAAGACGTGGTTTTACGTTTTTATAAGTGGTCAATGCAGCATGGAGTTTGTGTTTAAGAGAAACATGCAGGAATTTAAGGTCCCACTGGGTGACAGGTAAGTGTGTAGAAGTATAGCAGTTCTGAGTCATGGTGTTCTGGATTATGAGTTAATCGGCAAATATAAATTAGAATAGAGTGTTTGCAATATAAGTTAATGTTGCAAAAAGATCACTCTTTCCTCTCCCTAAGAAATACTGCATTACGAAAGGGTCTAGTTCTGACAAAAAAAAAAAAAAAAACCAAAACCAAAAACCAAACAAACCACCCACACCCCAAAACAATAACAACAAAAAAACCAAACAAACAAAAAAATGGAATACAGAAATAAAGCACAAAATCCAAGATACAGAAGGTTAAATGCACAAAGCAACATTTTAAGACTATTTTCTTTTGAAATTGCTAAAGAAGCATCTTTTAAAATAATATCGTTGTTGTTACAGTTCTTTTTTTCTAACCAGCCAAGGGTGCTGTATGGTGACTGCAAGATTTAGTTTAGTCTTGAAGACAATCACAGGGATAACCATGAATTTTCTCTGACAGATGCTGTAAATATTTTCCATGGCTCTGAAAACACAACTGGTTTTATGGAAAGAAGTAAGAAGTATTTCATGGTATCACTACCAATATTAATTACATTTCAGTAACACCCTCCAAACGAGATTGCCTTTAGGATTGTGTGAATGAAAGTTTTTAGTTGGACACTAACAGACGAACAGGGAAACCTCCGTATGTCTAAATGTGAGGTGCCTACATACACTGATTTGTGGGGCAAATAAGCAGTATTCTAGCTTCAATTTTCCTTTCAGTAGCATGGGATAAAGCTTAACAACTTCAATAGTAGCTACTAACTTCTGTTATGAATTACTATTGTCACTGTTCTCTAGGGTTGTAATGCTGCTCTGGGGACTGCATTTACTTGAGATAAATCCCTCAGAGCTGTATGCCCCAATGGATATATATGGAGGAGGAAATAACTGTGAATCACAAACAGTCGTATAACAATAGAGAATTATCCCAGGCTAAAATCAGAACTGATATTAAGCAGCAGTAAAAGTTATAGATAAATAAATCAGTGTGAAGAAAGTTCACATGAGTAAAATGTTGTCAGCAGAAGAAACGGGGCTGATACTTCTTCAGACAAGTGAAGACCAGGTGTAGTTAGACTCTGTTACACATTTATGTTGGTTATTTTCCCCCTTATTTGCTCAATTAAAGCAACATACCCTCATTTTAGCCTGCTTTGATTCACATCAGTTAATGGGCTTTTGTTCTACCTTTAAATTTACTATGTGTGATTGGTGTCAAACTTGCTTTGGACAAGGGCTTCAGGGATTGAGTACTTCATTTCTTTATAAGTACAAAAATTGCCTGAAGAGCTGCCAAGGTCTTGCTTTTAAGAAGTGTTTTGGACAGGGCTGTTCCTACCAGCTCTGGAGTGATACAACGATGCCAGGAAATTCTGTTTGCCTCAGGTCTTCCTCTACTATCCAGGGAAAGTACTTTGCTTTCATTCCTGGTCAGAAGGTCCAAAGAAGGGAGTTTTGACCCAGAGTATGGTCAATACAAGAGGTTTGGTTCACTGCTCCACTCAAGGTTTTGTGAATAATTACCTGCATTGCTTACTACTTTTTCTGGTACTCAGACATTTTTTTTTCTCTCCTGATATGTCCTTCTCTCTGACTAAGTTTCAACCAAACAGACAACATACCTCTGTTACTCCTTCCACCCCCATTTCCAGTAGTCTCAGTTTTGCTACCTCAGTAGCCAAATTTGGAATTTCTGATACAGTTACCTAGATAACCTCATCCTGACATGCTTTTACTGATACATTTTCTTGGACATGGTTGTCACTGAAAAACTTGACTGTCACGAAAGAGAGTCAAGGTGCTTCCCTTCAGTTGTCTGTGACATTTAACCATTTCTGACTA